ATGTTTATAAGCATTATGCTTGCTGGATAGTAATGCTAATAATGTTAGGCAACCACAGTAATTCACACTAGTAACATGATAATTATGTAAAAAATTGCTAGCAACATGCTAATGTATGTCAAAAACATGCTAATAACATGTAAATTCATGCAGATTGATCAAGCTAACATCAAGTGTGTCAACACACTTTGCTCATTTAGTTATCATTTTAGCTTTAGCAAGACCCCTTTAATATTTCATGCAGGATAAAGATAATTTAATAGGCAGTCATGAAGTAGACGCTACAAGTGTGACTACACACTTAAAAAAAACATGTTAGAAACATTTGAATTATTGCTAGCAACGCTTCATTAAGACATGAAATCAGGAAGACAAATCATGCTAAAAATATGCAAATGACATACTCATATGGCAGGGCTAAAAACAGGCAAATTCATGTTAGTTATTTGCTTGCATGCTACAACATTACAAGAAACATGTTAATTAATGCCAGCAACATGCTAATTTATTCCTACTAGTAACACAATAATTGTGTAAAATACTTGCTAGCAACATGCTAATTCTTGATGATAAAACATGCAAGCAACATGTTAATTAATGCCAGCAACATGCTAATTTACGTCAAAAACATGCTAGCAACATGTAAATTCATGCAGATTGATCAAGCGAACATCAATGTTTGTCAACACTCTTTGCTCATTTAGTTATCACTTTAGCTTTAGCATGACCAGACCCCTCCAATATTTCATACAGGATAAAGATAATTTTATAAGCATCTTTAAGTAGACGCTACAAGTGTGACTACACACTTAAAAAAACATGTTAGAAAAGTTTGAATTATTGCTAGCAACATGTTTCATTAAGATATGAAATCAGGAAGACAAATCATGCTAAAAATATGCAAATGACACTCATTTATGCTAAAAACAGGCAAATTCATGTTAGTTATATGCTTGCATGCTACAACATTGCAAGAAAACATGTTAATTAATGCCAGCAACATGCTAATTTATTCCTACTAGTAACACAATAATTGTGTAAAATACTTGCAAACAACATGCTAATTCTTGATGATAAAACATGCAAGCAACATGTTAATGCCAGCAACATGCTAATTTACGTCAAAAACATGCTAGCAACATGTAAATTCACGCAGATTGATCAAGCGAACATCAAGGTTTGTCAACACACTTTGTTCATTTAGTTACCATTTTAGCTTTAGCATGACCAGACCCCTCCAATATTTCATACAGGATAAAGATAATCCTATTTAAGTACAATATCTGCAGTTAAACAAATTATGAAATGCCAGTTAAATGGCACAGAAATGCGGACATTCCTTCAGGCCTAATGAGCATTACAAACAGAAAAGGTCAAAATCAACCCTCTCCAGAGACTCCAGAAATACGGGAGACTGATGAGAAGGATTCACACATCAAAAGAGACAAACAGCAGCATCCTCAGCATCTCTGCCCATCCACCCGAATGTGTTGATGCCAAGGAAAAAGTCTTACTTTGACTATTCTCGCTGTACTAGTAGTTTTTTCCCCAGCACTCACCGTGACAAACTCAATTGACAGACTGGCCGGTAAAGGTGAATCATTCACTCTAGCAAAAACTTCTCAGTCAAAAAAGATCCACGGTCAACTGTGCTGCGATTTATGAATCAGCAAGTCAACCGATGAGCTGCACCTTAAAGTAAAAATGAAATCAAAATCTGCTCTTCTTATGTTTATATGTGCATAATAGTGCTTGTTGTAAACCAGGGTTCCCAAAACATTTAAGCCTGCGACCGCTAAACTAACAACTCCAGTGATTTGCGACCCCCAATATCCTCAGAGGTGGTTGTAAACATACAAACATTACACACAATGGTGCACACACACCAGCTGAACTATATAAACACAAGCATACTGACTACTCAAAAAGTGCAACAATCTAACAACCATATCATTTTATATAGTGATTATTCATTTGTTTAATTTAATATTAACCTCACTTAATGAGAATGGTAAGCAATGTTTACAGCACAAGACTATTCTTGGTATAATTTTGGAAACCGCCACTTGGTCATCATCCTCCTTATTCAGTGGTGGGCTTTATTTTAAATGTATGCGAGTGCGTAAAGGTGCCAAAGTCTAACATTGTGCCGTGGAATCAATCTGCTGCAACTAACACTATTGTTGTGACGTTCATCTAGCGTACTAACCCCAGGGGTCGCAATCCAATGTAAAAAAAAAATAATTAAAACGCTGATGGCTTTTCATTTGCATATCGATTTTGTCATATTGACATATTGATCAGTCATTTAGGGTGGAGCTATCAGTCTTTTAAGGTGGAGCTATGATTTATTTAGGGCAGGGCTATCAGTCATTTAGAGTGGAGCTATCAGTCTTCTACGGCAGAGCTATCAGTTTTTTTTAGAGCTGAGTCATTTAGGACGGGGCTATCAGTCATTTAAGGTGGAGCTATCAGTCTTTTAGGGCGGAGCTATCAGTCTTTTAGGGCGGGGCTATCAGTCATTTAGGGCGGAGCTATCAGTCATTTAAGATGGAACTATCAGTCTTTTAGGGCAGAGCTATCAGTCATTTTAGGTGGAGCTATCAGTCATTTAGGGCGGGGCTATCAGTCATTTAAGATGGAACTATCAGTCTTTTAGGGCAGAGCTATCAGTCATTTTGGGTGGAGCTATGAGTCATTTAGGGCGGAGCTATCAGTCATTTAAGGCAGGGCTATCAGTCTTTTAGGGTGGAGCTGTGAGATATTTAGGGCGGGTTATCAGTCATTTAGGGTGGAGCTGGGTCTTTTAGGGCAGGGCTATTAGTCATTTAGGGTGGATTTATCAGTCATTTAGGGCGGGGCTATCAGTCTTTTAGGGTGGGGCTATCAGTCATTTAAGGCAGGGTTATCAGTCTTTTATGGTGGAGCTATCAGTCATTTAGAGCAAGGCTATCAGTCTTTTAGGGCGGAGCTAACAGTCTTTTGGGGCAAAGCTATGAGTCGTTTAGGGCAGGGCTATCAGTCTTTTGGGGCGGGGCTATCAGTCATTTAGGGCGGAGCTATCAGTCATTTAGGGCAAGGCTATCAGTCAGTTAGGGCAGGGCTATCAGTCATTTAGGGCGGAGCTATGATTCATTTAGGGCAAGGCTATCAGTCAGTTAGGGCAGGGCTATCAGTCATTTAGGGCGGAGCTATGATTCATTTAGGGCAAGGCTATCAGTCATTTAAGGCAGGGCTATCAGTCTTTTAGGGTGGAGCTATGAGACATTTAGAGCGGATTATCAGTCATTTAGGGTGGAGCTGGGTCTTTTAGGGCAGGGCTATTAGTCATTTAGGGTGGAGCTATGAGTCATTTAAGGCAGGGTTATCAGTCTTTTATGGTGGAGCTATCAGTCATTTAGAGCAGGGCTATCAGTAGTTTAGGTAGGAGCTAACAGTCTTTTGGGGCAGAGCTATGAGTCGTTTAGGGCATAGCTATTAGTCTTTTGGGGCGGGGCTATCAGTCTTTTAGGGTGGAGCTATCAGTCACTTAGAACTGAGCAATCAGTCTTTTACGGTGGAGCTATGAGTCATTTAGGATGGGGCTATCAGTGATTTAAACTGGGACCCTTCAGTTCTTTATGCACAATTATGCATACATTTATTCAAAAATTATTTTATACATTAAAATATCTAATTTTTAACTTTTTTATAAATTATAATAAATTTTTTTATTAGTTTAAAGGATTTAATAACGCACTCAAAAATACTTTTATAGTTTCATAACAAATCAATAAACACCTCTCGCGCTTAAAATGTGTAGATTCAGTGGCAAGCGCTGTTACCTGCAAACCCCATCCCACAGACTTTACAGTGAATGGCTTTAGTCATTCTCATAGCGGACTTGAAGCCACTGGAAGTCTTTTATCCACTCTTGGAAAAGTGTAAATGGTGGCTTAACATTCAGCACATGATCACTAATGAGATGTGCCTTTATTAGTAACTTTATGTAAATCTGTCAGTGTTATTTTCATTCTCTCATCTTCAGCGCTTCAGATGACAGGAGCTACAACTGTGAAAATGTGAAGGCAGAAGGCATTGATTAACGGCTAATATCAACCAATCATCCCCATTCAGTTCTAGAGCAGTGAGCCAATAAGTAGAGCACAAAGGCGGTGCAAGCATTGTGGGCTTTTTTACTTCTGCAAGTTCACATAACAACTATTTTTATCTGTTCCTGAGCGCTGCGTTTGGCGTCTCCTTAATCCGCGCACGCGGTGAGGATTTTGCTGTGAAAACAATGAAAATGTATGCACTACAGTGAACTCCAACCGAACTCTCGTCTCCTCCACCAGCAGTGGGAAAAGCCATTAGATCGACACAGATCACTGCCTATTCATGCCAGAGTCCCGCGGAAAAAAAGTGATTGACAGGTGATAATTTGTTTGTAACTTTATTTGTTTATGGTTTGGTTATGGGTAAAGCAAAGACCATGTGGGTCAGGTAGTTATAATGTTAAGCTACAATTAATTAATTAGTTATAAAATAACTGATATTTAACAACCACCCCCCGCCTACGACGACGATAACACAATCCATCGCAATGTTTCACATTAGACATTGTACGATGCCAAATTGGTCAACATCGCCCAACCCTACTAGTGACCAATGAAATAAGTACCAGAATCTCGTAATAAGTACTAGTATGAATGAAACAGGTAACCTAATGTTATCTCTGAATAAGCTGAAGTAGCATAAAAATAGATTCAATCCTGAAATGGCCAACCATAACCAAGGAGCACTAAATGTAGCCCGAATGTCACGTAAGCACAATGACGTAAAAAAGCATTGACTTACATTAAACCTGCTCTTGTCCACCATCAAAGTCTGACACTGTGCTCTACATAGAACCAGAGTAGTAGTAGGCCCTTTCAAGCTCTCATCCATTATGCAAATCAACACCGAGGGAGCTGGAGGCGACAGATAGGGGCAATTTAAATGCAGGCGAAGTGAAAACTTACCTAGTGTCAAAAAGTGGGTCTGTGTACATCGGTGGAAAACAAACGGTGTCTTGTCCCTTGGACAGAGCGTTCTGCTGGCTGTGCGCTGGTTTAGTTTGTCCTTGCTTCTTGTTTTCTCCAGCTGAGCCATCTGTGAGAAACAACACAAAAAATCTGTAACTTTTAGGAGAGCAAACTCTTTCAGACACCTTTGAGAAGTTCACCTCGACTTCACCGTCTGAATAGTAACGCTGTACGCTGAAATTTTAAGTGTTTTGGATTAATTCAGCCATCTAAAAAGGAGATATTGGTCACACTTGATGGTCCGTTTGTTTAATTTAAGCTACATTGCATCTACATGCCAACTAATTCTCATTAGATTATTAGAAGTACGGTTAGGTTGGGGCTAGGATTAGTGTAAGTTGACATGTACTTGCAAAGTTTCTCATAGTGAGTTAAATGTCTGTTGAAGGAGCAGTATCAGCATATATTAAGCAGACAGTAGAGTTGTCATGATACCATTATTTAATCTTAGGATACTATACCAGCTGAAGTTCCACAAGTACTGTAGTATTGCGATACAGTAATTCATAACTCAAATTATAAAGAAAATTATCAGAAATACTATACTTTGTTATAACAGGCCTACTTGAATGTGATTCAAAATTCTCTTAAGGCCAAAAAGTGGTATTTGCACCCAGTGGCGTAGCGCAAAATGCAGGGGCCCCCCCTGCAAGGATTATTGACTGCCGACCACCCCCCCACTCACCTTCCCACCCCCCACCCCACAAAATCATACTCAATTTTTTTTGGGGGGGGACTTGGGGTGGTTGTGGGTGGTTGTGGCAGGGGGGTTGGATCACAGATCACACGGAAATAACGAAATATGGGGGCCCCCCTGCAAGGATTATTGACGCGGAAATCACACTCTGTGAATGGGTGGGGGGGGAAATGGGGGCTGGGGGGCTACGCCACTGTTTGCACCCCACTTCACCAAAAATCTATTCATTCTTTTTATTTATTTTTTAGATAACTGAAAAACAAAAATACATTAAACGACAATTGTTTGCAGTTAACTTTAACAACATTAACAAGGTCGTTGTCAGATATAAATAAACACGTTTAATCCTAGCAAATATACTTTTTACTAGGCCCAGACGGAATCTTTTTTTGCTATTTCTGCAGAGAATTTTGGTAAAAATTTGTGGATTTCTGCTGAATTTTTTTGGGAGCATCGTAACTAACTCCTTAATATGTGAAATAAAAAGTAATACATTTTTTACTTTTATTTAATGTTCGAAATGCAAATCTATTTAGATTCACTTTATTTGGTAAACAAAGCAAGTCTCTCATATATCTACTAAAAGACCAAAAATATTACTGTACAAACTGTGCTGTAAATAAATCAGATGAACATTTTCATATTAGTCAATAATATCACTGTCATTAATTAAATAACTGAATAAATATAGATTTTCACACATTTACTCGACTAAATAAACAGAAATAAATGATGGGATAAAAATCTGCGTAATTCTGCACGAGCAGATTCCGTGTGGGCCTGCTTTTGACCCACCCATGTGTTACTTTCTTCCCTGCCTATGGTGTCAAAAGTAACAATGTGCAACTTTTGTTTAAAGTAAAGTTATGATGGAGTTGTTCTACATTAGATCAAATACCATCTGGATTTGGTAGACCACTGTTGTGAGTTAATAAAAGATAAATAAAAGATAGTGTTTTTAGCAGAAATATATTTTTGCTCTGGTTACTACCAGAGCAAAAATATATTTCTGCTAAAAACATTCTTTTATTTATTTATCTTTATTTTATTTTTTTTGACCCCGCTCCCCCCTACTAAAACATGCTGAATTTAATGTCATATAATTATAATTAAGCAATAATTGTTTGAGATTATAAATAAATGATTAAAAGGATGAATAGAGAAAATGTTTAAGACCATTTTGCCCTGTTAATGTTCTTTTTATACCTCCCATTATCTTCAGTAGTGAGTTTCATTCATGTTATAGTCTGTGTCAGGCCGTCACAGTGGTGCAGTGGGTAGCACAATCGCCTCACAGAAAGAAGATCGCTGGATCGAGCCCCGGCTGAGTCAGTTGGCATTTCTGTGTGGAGTTTGCATGTTCTCCTCATGTTAGCATGGGTTTCCCCTGCAGTCCAAAGACATGCCCTATAGGTGAATTGAATAAGCTAAATTGGCCGTATGTGTGTGAAAGAGTGTATGGGAGTTTCCCCAGTGTTGGGTTGCAGCTGGAAGGGCGTTAGCTGCATAAAAAACATATGCTGGATACGTTGGCGGTTTATTCCGCCGTGGCAACCCCAGATTAATAAAGGGACTGAGCTGAAAAGAAAATGAATGAATGAATGAATGAATGAATGAATAGTCTGTGTCCATCTCCACCAAGCCCACAACTACAAGCAAACATTTTACAATTTCTTTCAAGTTTAAATGTTTACCAGTAATTAAACCAAACAAGTAATTTTAAAGATTAAAATATGAGTTTTATATCGCTTATCATTATATATTAAACCGTATGTCTTTTCAAAACAGAACGCTAGAGTTTGGGTGTACAGTAAACAAACAGCGCCATCTTTAGGCGCTAAATCAAACTTCTACAGTCGATCTCAAACCACAAAGTGCCTTTAAAACAAGATTAAAAGTTAACTTACCAAGATTGTTTTACCAAGGTCTTCTTTAAGGGTAAAAAAAATGTAAATTAATTGCATGAATAAATCATAAGACTGCTAGCTTTGAGTAATAGCTGAGCTGTCGTGATAATTCAACCTGTTTATCATCCTCATATTAATCTGTCTCCATCAAACTCCAAGATTAAGCTAAATTAGCTGACGGGTTTAACCTAGACAGTTTTGTTTGAGGCCATATGCTGGGTTTGTGGCCCAGGCTAGCAGCTAATCTCTTCAGAGGAGCGGATTTAAAGCGGTCTATTTTCTGCCAGCTCCTATGAGACACGCTGCTTTAAAGGGACTTTCTGTGCCACACGGGTCCGGTTGGTATCTGCTTCCATGCGGCTTTAACTACAGTTTAAGATTAGATTAAGATAACACGCCTCAGCGATTTGCGAAGGCGTTTGTGTATGGCAAGCCATTTTAACATTTAAAAGCACTGTGAAATTTGAAATTTTTTAAGACGTTACACTCTAAAAAACATTAGGGGTTATTTTTTTCTACCCAAATCGTTTAGGCATTTGGGTAATTTTGGGGGGTTATTTTCAGAGTCTTGGGTAGTTTCAACCTATATCTTACAGTCTATGGCAGGGGTCACCAATCTCGGTCCTGGTGGGCCGGTGTCACTGCAGGGTTTAGTTCCAACTTGCCTCAACACACCTGCCTGGATGTTTCAAGTATACCTAGTAAGACCTTGATTAGCTTGTTCAGGTGTGTTTGATTAGTTTGGTGACCACTAATCTATGGTTTCAACCCAGCTCTTTGGGTCAAATCAACTCACAGCAGGGGCTGACTGTAATACCACGTATTATATATTAATTTGTTTAAATGCAACGAAAAAAAGTGTAACATAAACACAGATTTCTTGCGTTTTAGATAATTAAATTGAGATTTATGCTCACAGCAGCCCTTAGTCAGACCTTTCTGAATCTTAAAATTTCTTACTAGCACCTTTTGTACACCTGTAATCAAAGCTGCACATCCCCCACCCTACTTTAGTGTTCAAGTCAAAACAGCACAATTGCTGGGTCATCTTTCGTGGGCATTTTTGGATCAAATTAACCTATTATTTATATAAATAACCGAATATTGGGTAAAAAAAAACAACAACAACCCATTCATGGCGATAAAAATAATAACCCATTTACTTGGGTTAATTTAACCCCTGATGTGTTCTGTCCCATATTTACCCAGCAGTAGGGTTAAAAACAACCTAATTGGGGTAGTTTTTAACCCTGTGTTTTTTAGTGTTGTAAGAATATTGTTAGTTTAAAAGGTATAATCCAGCATGCTGCAAAACAGTAAGCAAATTTGTGTTTAGAAGATATAAACATTCAAAGCTTGCAGTGTGTAACTTCCTGAATTTATTATTATTTTAAATACACTTTCATTTAGAAAAGAAGAAATGTACAATATAAATAGGGAAGTAATCTGTAGGAGACTGGAACACAAGTACATACAATTACAAAGTGTTACGAACAACAAGTAACAATAAGTAATAGAAAGAGAAAAAAGAAAACAAAAAAAAAAGAAAGGGGAAGTACAAAATTAAATTTTAAAATTAAATATTAAACTTAATTTGTTTGTTTAAATTCAACACAAACAAATTGTTTGCAACAGTTCTGCATGCAACACTTTTTTCAGTGTAATATAAAAAGTTATTTATAAATATTCCTCATTTTTATTATTGGGACTAGAATAATAACAAATAACATCTAAAATAATTAATTGACTGAATCAAAAATATCCTATAGAAAAAAGTGAAATTCCATAACACACAATCTAATCACAGTCTATTAATTCTAAAAATCTAAATCAGGTTCTAAAGACAAAGTGGAAATTCCAATAAATTAAGTCATAATGCTTAAAAGGATTTTGCAATCCTATAGGACAACGTGAAAATCCAATTAAAAAATTCTGAATGTCTATTAGAATTTTAGGAATCCTTTAAGATCCGATAGGATAAACTAAAATTCCAATAGCATTTTTTGACAAGGGCACAAAAACTGATCACACAACAAGTGCTTATTTGTAGGGGAGTGTGTTGGTAAAAAAAAAAAAAGGTTTGTCTAACCCCCATTACTTTGTTCATTATTTGGCCAAAACCAAAAGTGTTACTTTGTGCCCTGCTGTCCCCCATGAACATTGTTTACTATTTTGGTACTTGAGTAACTTCTGAAAGTGGAAACAGTAGGCCTAATACCGTTTTAGTTTATTGTTATCAAAGAGCATAGAATCACCAAGAGGCGACACTCTAGTGCGATTTGGGAAACAGCCACTAGATGGCGCAACGGCCATTTTGGAATGAAAATTCCAATAGAACAACAGCATAAGTCTGTAAAATAAACTATTAAAAGTGCTGATGATGATGATAGTAAGTGTTGTGTTGGCGTATTTCAGGTTGTATCTCAGCTTTAATGCGCTTTTAAATAGATAAATAAAAACAAAGCAGCTGCTTGCCATCGCAACAGCAATAAGATCCAATGGAGAGCTGATTGCTTTCACTCCAAAATGGCGGAATCCGGGGCTGTTGCAGGGCACTGCTGTTTCAATGGTCATTCTAAGCTCTTTCCCGTTAAAATAATTTCCTGTAACGGCCGTTACTGTATCGAACCGTACCGCTCCATTAGTGTATGAGCTAGTTTTAGCATGTTTTTTTACCTGTGCCGTCCAGCAGGAAGCAGGTGAGCAGGTGCGGACACACCTCCTCCAGCACCCCACAGAAAGCGCTGAAGGCCGCGGGCTCCTTCTGGGAGAGCAAATCCAAGAAGAGCTCAGCACGTTTACCGCTCGAGTCCTGTCCCAAAATCTCCTTATATTCCCCCAGAGTAAACACCCGCTCGTACACCAGAGTCGGCAGCACCTTACTGACGTCCAGCTGCTTCACAATCACCTCCTTGTGCCGCTTCAGGACTCTGGACACCCGTTTATTCCTCCTCCCGCTCGCCGGTTTTCTCTGCACTTTAGTCCTCTGCCGTTTATTCTTCTTGATAAACCACTTTTTGGAGCCGCTTCCGAACATCTTCAGCTTGAGGAGTCCTGCTAACACTTCTTCAACAGGTCCGCCAAAGACAGACAAGAGCATGTTTTAGAAGAGACTTGTGGTCATTTCTGTGCAATTTTTGCCTTTGTAAGTGCAGCGTTTGTTGTGACAGCCCGAGTGTTTGGGACAGCAGGATAAATCTGCACAGAGACAAAATAGGTGGTTGGTACTTACAGACTGTAATAGGATTAGCTTTGTGTTAAGCAGACGGCTGGGTTTCTCTGTCTGATGGTGGTTGTATGAAAATGTGAATCCATCCTGGACAGATAACATAAACACTTTTATTTTATAAAATATATAAAATTCATTTAAATAATGCTAAATGAAAGAGTCTGAATTTTATTTTACATTAGGTCTAAGAAATTTTGCGCTAAAGCGTTTAAATAAAATAGAGTTACCATAGATTTACCTTATAAATATTTGAGCCACTTGTTTGGGTACACTTTGGTAGTACCCGGTTGGACCCCTTTTTCCTTCAGAACTGCCTTAATCCTTTGTGGATAATGTGAATCTCCCGTTTTACCACATCCCAAAGGTGCTCTATTGGATTGGGATCTCGTGACTGTGGAGGCCATTTGAGTACAGTGAACTCATTGTGATGTTCAAGAAACCAGTTCTGAGATGATTCACGCTTTATAACATGGCGTGTTATCCTGCTGGAAGTAGCCATCAGAAGATGTGTACACTGTGGTCATAAAGGGATGGACATGGTCAGCAACAATACTCAGGTATGCTGTGGCGTTGACACAATGCTCAATTGGTACTAATGGGCCCAAAGTGTGCCAAGAAAATATCCCCCACACCATTACACCACCACCACCAGCCTGAACGGTTGATACAAGGCAGGATGGATTCATGCTTTTATGGTGTTGACGCCAAATTCAGACCCTACCATCCGAATGTGGCTGCCGAAATGGAGACTCATCAGACCAGACAACGTTTCTCCAATCTTCTATTGTCCAGTTTTGATGAGCCTGTGTGAATTGTAGCCTCAGTTTCCTGTTCTTAGCTGACAGGAGTGCCACCCGGTGTGGTCATCTGCTGCTGTAGCCCATCCGCCTCAAGGTTGGACGTGTTGTGCGTTCAGAGTTGCTCTTCGGCAGACCTTGGTTGTAACGAGTGCACATTTGAGTTACTGCTGCCTTTCTATCAGCTGGAACCAGTCTGGCCATTCTCTGACATCAACAAGGCTTTTGCGCCCACAGAACTGCTGCTCACTGCATATTTTCTATCCCAGTAGATCAGCAGTTTCTTAAATACTCAGACCAGCCCATTTGACACCAACAATCATGCCATGTTCAAAGTCACTTAAATCACCTTTTATTGATTGGAGGAAAGTTTGGGTATTGCCTAATAAATATCTAATTATAAATAAAATCAAAGAAATCTTATTTAAGATCCTACACAAATAATACCCTGTTATACCAGATTGTTTGAAGACATGAATGTCAATTGTTCATTCGGTTCATCATACCCAGAAACAGTACCTCATATTTTCTGGTATTGTCCATATACAAAACGGTTCTGGGGGAAGGTATCTAAATTTATAAATGATAAAGTGCTGTCAATTTTCTTTTACTGTATGAATATGTTAGTTTTTTTTTATTTATCTATGATAAGAAGTTGGAAGATGAAGCTTATGTGATTAATCTTCTGATTATACTTAGCAATTAGAAGCCTGTTTTTAATGGTACATAACGAACTAAAGATTTATATAAATACCATAAAGGAGAGTACAAACAAAAAAATCTGTTAAAACTGTATATTTGATTGACACTTTTAAGTTATTGTGAGTTAGCAAGGCCTAGCATTATTTATTTGTAATACATTTTTTAATCTTTTTCTGTTTTTATTTTGTTTTACCTATTGAGTTCTTGTAATCTCTCTATCTTTTTATATACTTTTCATTTTTTTGTATACCTCTGGCCTTGTTTTGTATGCATCGTTCTTGAAATAATAATAATAATAATAGTAATAATAATAATAATAATAATAATAATAATAATAATAAAAAACTTAAATCACCTTTCTTCCTCATTCTGATGCTCGGTTTGAACTGCAGCAGATCCTCTTGATCATGTCTAAATGCCTAAATGCATTGAGTTGCTGCCATGTGATTGGCTGATAAGATATTCGCGTTAACGAGCAGTTAAACAGGTGTACCTAATAAAGCGGGCGGTGAGTGTATATCCATTAGATATCCTGTTGCAGTTTCACACTTTACCAGTAGAGGACAACAGAGCTACAGTTTGTCTATTTTCATTCATTGTTGAAAAAATACTAATTAAAATATGGATTAAGATTTGATATATTTGTTTAATTTTAATATATAATTTTCCGAATGTTCTGAGAACTTAATTATTTTCTAAAAATCAATCCTGTATTTGGGAGTATTTGTAATTGCCCAATTTTCTATTATTATCACAGCCCATTTTAAAATTCTTAAATTGTATTAATATTTGCATTTTCACATAATTATTACTGTAAATATTATAATGCAAATAATCTAACTCCCTTTACATCAATGTGTAAAAATCAATAATTCAAAAGAAACAGGAAATTAAATGGATTTTTAAAATTATATTTGTTATTTATCTTCTTTTTTTGTATTCAAATTTCCTCTCACTGCTGCAAATAATTAAACAAAGCGATATCGGATTACTACACTGCGAAACAAACTAAAATATCATTATCAAAACTAAATTGTTTAATAAATTCTGTAGAATTGCTTTCAATTCAAAAATGAATTTAACCCCATTAAGGTGCACTCCTTGAAAATAAATGACCAACATCTTAGATTAAATAATATACTGACACAACTCTAATAAATAGTAATAAGAAATTAAAATAATAATGAAAACCTATAGATAAAAGGTTAACCAGGTGGTTATGATGCCTTTTATAGGGTTAATTTTCATAAGCATGAACAAATATACACTGACAAAAAAGCTATGAAATGATACTGACATCAAATATGTCTAATGTGTTGGTCAACATGACTTCCAGACAGTAAATATAATGGTTGCAGTATCATACTCTACCAGTAGAGGGCGCCGTTTCAGCATTCACTGTTAGTCCTGCTTTTCATATGTCTCACTAGACACTGATGGATGTTATTAATATTTTGAAGTAGTTTTTAAAAAATAATTACTATATTGTCTGTTTACTAACATTTACTATAATGTTAAAATTAGTTAAATATCAGCTGTTGTCTCTTTTTACATCATTATAAACTGGTTTATTTGAGTATTAATCCAGAAAAAACAAACAAAAAGCGCTCTGGTAACCTACGCGTTTCGGCAAGAGTCTGCCTTCATCAGGGTAACATGGCAGACTCTTGCCGAAAAGCGTAGGTTTTTAGAGATTTAACCATGTGAATAAAGGCTTTTTAATTTTTTCACATTTTTCGAGTGCCTTGGACTGATTCTTGTTGAGGTTTATTTGAGTTTGAGCTCATTTAAAACATCAAGTTAGGGTAAATTTATAATATTATCACACAATAATTTAACAATATTAATATATAAAATTTTTTTTCCTTTTTTAAAGTCTTTCTTTAATTCATATGCTTTTCAGTTTAGTTGTCACAGCGGAATGAATCGCCAACTTATCCAGCATATGTTTTACACAGCGGATGGCTTTCCAGCTGCAGGCCAGTACTGGGAAACACCCGTACACTCTCATACTCTACATACAATTAAGCTTATTCAATTCATCTATAGCGCATGTGTTTGGACTGTGGGGGAAACCGGAGCACCCGGAGGAAACCCACGTAAACACTGGGAGAACATGCAAACCACACAGAAATACCAACTGGCCAAGCCAGGGCTCGAACCAGTGACCTTCTTGCTGTGAGGCGACAGTGCTAACCACTGAGCCACAGTGTCATAAAACAACAAAAATCATTTTATTAGTGTAGTTAACTACAACATTTCCCATCAAAGTAAGGTGTCGAAAGTTTTAATGTGTTGAATCTTGTAAATAGTTATCGGTGCACATCAAATAAAGTTATTCATTCTCACGCTATCTTCATTTACCAGCCTCGTTTCCAAGTAAAAATGACTAATGATTCCTATAACATGGTCTTGTGTGCTGCGATGCATGATAATAAAGCGAGTTTATGATTAAAACAAGAACAAATATTTGCCAACGGGCCGCTCAGACGCTTAATTCAAACAAACAAATTATTCTAAGCACATAAATCCACTTAAATCAGTTCAGTTTCTCAGAAATCAAGACTTCATTTCTTCCCTTTGCATCAGAAGTAAATAAACAGCTCTGGAAAGAGGAACGTTTTTACAATTCTCTGGATTTGTCATCGATCGCTTTGTGTTTTGAGTGACACATTGATTTGAGTTTTATTTTATAGACCATTTCAAGAGTTCCCACTTAGCTATGCTCGGCGTCAATAGCAGGTTTGGCATGCTGTCCTGGCAGAGACTCCTGAGCTTGGAGATAATTGAGCCCAGGGCTCCCGCCCGGTCAATAAGCATATCAGGGGATCCGAGATCAAGGTAGGTCTCGAGAGCTCCCCCTTTAGAAGAGGGAGGAAAAGGAGGAGACGGGGTGGAAGGGGGGATTCTTCCAAAATGAAAACAGGATAGCAGTAGGGAGAAAAGGATCCATTTATAGTAGGCTTAGATCACTCTGATTGGATTATTATTGAATACAGATGAGCAGCCAGTCTTGTTCAGTCATATCACGTGCTCCTCTCGAAATTAGTTTGTGATACTTCACTTCGCGTCATTGGGCTATGAACATCTCCTGCTTGTTATGAACCACCAACTATTCCAGCATATGTTTTACACACAAATGCCCTTCCAGCTGCAAACCATCACTGGGAAACACCCAAACACTCTCATTCATACATACACTACATCCAATTTAGGTCATCCAGTTTACCTATAGCGCATATGTTTGGACTTTGGGTGAATCCAGAGCACCAAGAGGAAACCCACGGCAATATGAGGAGAACATGCAAACTCCACACAGAAATGCCAACTGGCCCAGCCAGGACTCGAACCAGTGACCTTCTTGCTGTGCGGTGACAGTACTAACCATGTGCCGCCCATATATATGCACATAAATTAAGTTCATTTATTTTTAGAGCACATTTAAAAACTGACCAAAGTGCTGTACATAAGGGCGTACTCA